TTTAATATAATAAAAATAGCGACTTAATTTACAACAAAATATATATATTTTATAATATAAAATAAATTTAAAATTCATGTAAAAAAAATTTTGTTTAACAAAAATAAGTGTATCATTTCTATATGTATAACCATTTATTTATATATTTTTTGTTTTTACTAATTACATTCTTAAATTTTCTTGAACCTTTAACAATCTTTATATAATGAAAATTAAATTAAATATGAATTATAATATATAATATCATGAGTAAAAATGTAATTCTATAATTTTAATTAATATATTTTTTAATTTACAGGCATAATATTAATATCTCTGACTTTGTCTTCTATTATTTTTATTCCTAATCACTTCATTATTAATGAGAATAGGATGTGGCCTTGAATCAAATTGATTCATTTTTTAAAAATTATTTAAGTTTTTAATTAACAATAAAGCCCTTTTAAGCAAATGGATCCATGCAGTTAAAAGAGAATTTTTTAAACCAAGCAAACAGTCATTGTCTGCATTGCACATTTTTCAAATGAATTTTTTTTATCCAACTTCTACAAATTATCATATTTTATTTTATCAATTAAATAAATGTGTTTTTACAGGATTTTTAAATTGTTCCATTAACAAAATATTTACAAGCTAAATCTAAATGGCCTATATATATAGCAATTTCAATAAAGGAATAAATTTATTTTAATCGTATACCTTTATTCAAAATGCTATACTATAATAAAATAACAATTAATTGTAAGTACATATGTTATAGGTAATGTGTTTTTACCCGCAATGTGTTTTTTTTTCAACTTTAAATCATTTTCTGTCCGCGTTTTTTAAATTTAAAAATCTGATTTTATCGGAAATGTATTCCAGCACGCTTAGAATACCTATTATGAATTCCAATCAATTTTGCCGTTAACCTTTGAGTTATTTATAATTTATATAAAAAAATATATGGAAAATGAATATAAATTATAATAGGTTCATGGCAAAATTATCTGGAATTAATAAAGTAGGTATTCCTCATTATGCAATGCATTTCCGGTAAAATCATATATTTAAAGTTAAAAAAAGGCTCTCAAAAAATAATATAAAGTTGAAAAAATAGCGCATTGCCGGAAAAAATACATGGCTGCTTACTAATTATTATTGAATGACTTAAAACATTAATAAAAGATCTGGATGATTTTTATGATATCAACATTAGGTCTAATCGATTAATTGAGCTATTCATATACGAATCGAATAATATATCATTGCTATTCATTCATAATAAAATTATTATTCGATCTGATTCGAAAATTTTTCTAAAGCTTATGAAAAATAAATTATTTTTTGCAAAAAAATTATAAACAGATGTGAATGTTTTAAAATGACACCTTTAAAGATTCTCTAAGCTAATTGTCGCATATTAAAATTTACAGAAAATAAACGAAATAAAACCAAATGATTTCATATAACGTTATCCAAACAAATTGGCCAAAAACACCCGACTTTTAGAATTATAATTGCTTATAAAAATAACAAAATCATTTCTTCAATCTAATATTCAAATTTTATTAAAATTTTCTAAATGTACATTGATCTCATTTTATAAACATCAAAATATAATACAGGAAAAATATAATTTGCTAGATCCGAATTTGACAATAACCAGTTTTTCAAGCGTAAAGTCTTTCTAATGGTTTCTTGCTTCAAAGGCATTCTATTCTTCATTATCATATTTGTACCTTTTAAGTAATCGTTCACATGAGGCCAAATATCCTTGAATGGACAATATATCAGTTGCCATTTTCGACAATACAAAAAAAAAAGGTTACTAAATGGAAAAAGCCTAGAAAAAAACTCGTCAACAAAATTTAGTTATTTATCTGCCAGGAGTAAAAGAATATGGGAAAGAAGTTCACAACTCCAAAAATGATTGAAGAGATTATTTATCATACCAATGAAAAAATAATTATAAGTAAAAACTATACTGACCAATTTTAATGTTCTACTAAAGAAAGAATTCAAGGCTGTTGTGAATTTGTATGTTTAAGTTATATATTTATACATATATATATATAATTTATATATGAAATGTCAGTTAACTTTCACGTTATATGTATTTATACATATATATAATTTTATATACAAAATGTCAATCAAAGAAATTTAAAAAGGATATTGTTTTTCCTTGGGGATAAATATTATTATTGTCTTTGTTGAAGAATAATTTTTATTGTCTTTGTCTTGATGTAAAATATGAAATAATAAAATCTTTGATGTTGCTTATATATATAAAATTGGTGCACGTTTCAACCAGGATGAGACACCGAAAGTTGATGGCAAATGTTATGTTAAAGTATCATTTGAATTAAATGGAATTGGATGATGTTTAACTATTATGGATATACTGGTAAGAATTTTTTTTTAATTGTAATACACAACGCAATGAGAGATATTTTATTGATTAAATATGAATAAATAATATTAGTGTAAAATATTAATTAATTTGAATAATTTTAGTATTTATATGATATTATTATGAACTTATTAGAATGCAAAATATATATATAAGGAGGGTGAAAATTGTGTTAATATTTTGATATTTTTTTAAAAATATAAATATGAGATATTTATGATTAAGAAATAAGGTATATTTATATGAGATTATTTTTATTGTCTTGTTGGAAGAGATTTTTAATAAAGAAATAAATGAGATTCAGAGACCTTTAAATTCTGAAATGAATTTAGGTATGATGAATATTAATTTCATTAATTAAAATTTCTTAAATGGAAATATAATGGTAAAAGAGTGGGGTACTTATTGGAATGAGTCCATGTAAATTTTTTGTGGAAAATTTAAATGGTAATATGAATGTTACTTATTGGAATGAGTCCATGTAAATTTTTTGTGGAAAATTTAAATGGTAATTTGAATGTTATTTAATGAAATTAGTACATGTAAATTTTTGTGGAAAATTTAAATGGTAATATGAATGTATTGAAAGAATTTAAAAAATATATATCAAATATGTATATACAATTTGGTTTTAAAAAAAATGGGCATATGAGTTGGTTCATTCTTTTGGTTCAAATATTAATTAATACAATTTATTGGGATAATATTAATGAATACAGGATAATATGTTAAATATTTGGGAATAATATGTTAATGGGAAATTTAATATGTATTAAATAGTAAGTATGTAATTTTGTTGACAAATATAGGGAATATATTTAAGGCATATTAACATGTGAAGTAAAAAATATTGATAAATATAGAGAATATATTTAAGGCATATTAACATGTGAAATAAACAATATTGTTAAATATAGGGAATTTATTTGAGGCATATTAATTATTGAATTGTAGTTAATATATGGATATATTAAATGATTAATTTTAATTAAGTATATTGGGTAATTAATTATAATGGTGTAAAAAAAATATATATAGAGAAAATTCATGTGAATTAAACATTTAGGGTAATTAGTGAGTAATCAATTATATGGTTCGAAAAAAAAATAAAATATAGAGAATATATTTAGAATTCAGTGGGAATTAAACATTTAGAGTAATTAAATGTTAGAAGAAAAGAAGATATTATCAATATTATGAAATTTTACAATATTTTTTTTAATATAAATTAAAATTTTAAATTGTATTTGAATATATTTGTATTATGTTTATGTCATACAAATCATGTATTTTTATGTTTACCAATATCAATGATTGATCTAAAGATATTACATCTTATTGTTTTAAAAAAAAAATAATCAAATTTTATTGAGATAAAGTCTTACATTAGTGATATATATGTAGAAAAATTATATTTATAGAGATTTTATGTAGTTATTTATGATTATATCTTTAAAATCATATTTTTGTTAGATTACTTTAAACATTTTTTTTTTTGGAAAAATTCAAATTTGTATTGAGACAAAATATCGCATTGATTATATATATGAAAAGAAATTATATTTAGTGATGGTATATATTTTGACTATTAATTTTTGATGAAATATTTATCCTTATGTTTTATTAACACCTGATATGTTGGAAGATAAATATGGAGAAGTGGGAGAATAATGATGACCAAGAGCTATGACTCAAATGAAAGGATTGAAAAGATTATGGCAAAATGATATCCAATAAATGATGAGAATTGAAATGAAGGGGAAAGATTATATGAACATGAATTGAATATTATAAATTAAATTGAAAAATATTTTTGGATAATGTAACATGTGGTTTTTGAAGGGTGGGCGTGTTGTGAATTTGTACGTTTAAGTTATATATTTATACATATATATATATAATTTATATATGAAATGTCAGTTAACTTTCACGTTATATGTATTTATACATATATATAATTTTATATACAAAATGTCAATCAAAGAAATTTAAAAAGGATATTGTTTTTCCTTGGGGATAAATATTATTATTGTCTTTGTTGAAGAATAATTTTTATTGTCTTTGTCTTGATGTAAAATATGAAATAATAAAATCTTTGATGTTGCTTATATATATAAAAAAGGCATTATTGGGAATAAGTTAACCAGAATTTTTAAATCTAACTATCAAAATAAAATAATTATATTTATTAGTTTACTTTGTTGGGTCGTCGAAGGTACCGGTTCAACCCTGATAAGGAACTTTAAAAGTTTTTACGTTTTTCTTCGATGCCTGATATGTAAATACTTATGATAAGATGAATTTCTGAGCTTGGAAATTACACCCGGTCACCGATAGGCTTGGGCAGTCGGGTGCTATGATACGTGCCTAATAAACCAAGTAAAAGATACAAACAAAAATATGAAAGCTAGGACGTTCCCTCCAAGCGACGCGTAGAGTGTAGACCTCCATCCTGTGAAAAGTATAATAAAGCAAAGAACACAAGGTTAGAGCAAGCTTGAATATTGGTACACTTAAATAGGACGAGAAAATTGGCATCCATGTTGAACAGAGAAAAGTTGATATAGCATGCATACAAGAGACGAAATGGAAAGGTCAAACTCTAATGATTGGAGATGGGTATAAATTGTACTATAATAGAATTGTTAGTAATAGGAACGGTTTAGGTATCATCCTCAGTCAAGATTTAACCTCCTCGGTGACAAAAGTTAACAGGATCTCTGATAGACTAATGAAAATAAAATTCGGCATTGGTCAATCAATACTAGACATTTTTTCAGTATACACTCCTCAAACGTGTTGCAAAGAAGAGGAGAAAGATGACTTTAGAGCTATCCTTGATGAATCTGTAATGGAAATCCTTAAGGATGACCTAGTCATAATAGGTGGAGACTTAAATGCGCATGTGGGAAAAGCAAGAGACAGCTACAAAAGGCATCATGGTGGTTTTGGATATGGAGAAAGAAATGATGAAGGAGAGCATGTACTGAAATTTACGAAAGCCTTCGACCTTGCCTTAACCAACACCTACGATAAGAAAAAGGACAGCCATTTAATAACATATGAAAGTGGCACAAGGAAAACCCAGATAGATTACATGCTAATCTCTCGCAGAAGATTAAAAGATGTAATAGATTGCAAAGTCATCCCAGGAGAAGATATTGCTTCGCAACACAAGTTACTAGTCATGGATTTACACCTCACAAATTCCACTCGAAACTAGATAAAACTAGAACCATGCATCAAATGATGTAGGATAAAATCAATGACAGATGCCGTTGCAATCAATGCAAACATTGAAACAATAGATTCCTCACGAGTCATTGAGAAAATGTGGACAGACCTTTCTAGATTAATAAATACTGCCACACTAGGCTTGACAATTCTCTATAGTTCGGAAACATGGCCAACCAAAGAATCAGACGATAGAAGTCTACAAACTATGGAGATGAGAATGCTGAGGATGATTGCTGGGGTAGATAAGGTGCAAAGTAGAAGAATACTAGGATTAAAGTTAGTGCTTATTAAAATTAAGATAATGGTGAACAAACTTAGGTAGTATGGGCACACATTGAGAAGACCTATAAACTATTAGGAAATAAGGTTAAGAGTTTTGAAGTGATGGGCAAACGTAAATGAGGAAGTCCAAACTTCAATGGGGCCATAAAGTTAGAGCCAATATGAAGAAATATAAATTAGATAAAAGAGATAGCATCAACAACATAAAGTGGAGAGAGATATTGAAAGAGCTTACCACCAGAAAAGGTGAAAGCGAAAATTAAAAAAAAAATTTGTTGGGGCGCTTCCCTTTCCACTAAACTTCTTATCAGAAAATATAACTTATGATTTGATTTATGAATATATTTATAATAGGAAATAAAATAAAGTAAAACAAAATGATATCCACTTTGAAAATTTAATTATTTCTTTTTTAGTATTTACTTAAAAATAAAATATTTACGAATATTTATAAATAAATAATTTCGAATAATATGAATAATTTCAAATAATGCGAATATTCGAAAAAACGAATAATACGAATAATTTTGAATAAACAAATATTCGAATCGAATAATAAAAAGTTTACTATTCTACGAATATTTTCCCTCATTATTCATATTCGATTCTAAATTTCAAATCGAATAATTGTGCTATTCGTATTCGCAAAATACGAATCGAATAACAAATAATAAGTTTTGGGCCTAATTATCATGAGTAAAAATATAATCATATCTTCGACTTCCTTTTTTCTATTATTTTTATTCCTGATCACTTTATTATTACTATAGTGCGCCCTAGCCCGGTCTTCGGCAGGGAAGAGTGTAGCATGGGAATCATAAATGGCACGGAATTAGAGATAGCCATGAATCACAAATAGGTGACTAACAAATAGCGATGAATCACAAATCATGAAATATCAAAGTTTTATAAAAAATTAAAATACAATATAGGTATGGAGTAGAGTAGTAAATTAAAAAAAAAATTAATGTATTGCCATAATATTAATGAGTGTTTATCAATAGCTTAATTGAGCAGGAACAATGATAAATAAAAATTATAGAAATATTTACTAATACTATTCAAAATAGTAAGTATATTGCGAAACTATTATTGTTCGGGGAACCAATTCTCAACTTATTTTTATAAGGTAGGATTAAAATATAATGTTATTCGGAGAGACCAATTGGGAAACTTAAAAAAAATAGGATCTTGTGATAGATTTAGAATAATTTAAATAATATAAAATAGAGATCTCCTGGGCATGGCCTATTTTTTAAAAAGAAATCGTGTTCTGTTTGGGTCGGGTCTAATATTTTTTGAAAAAATTCGGGCAGGGTCATGTCGGGTCTTGGAAAATTTTTTTTAATATATCTAAATTTATCAATTTTATGTTGAATTTTTAATGTAAAATAAAAATATTTGATTTTATTTATAGAAACTAGACGCCATATAACATAAATCTTTTATTTTGAGTTATTATAAAAATTAATTTCTATATTTAAATAAATTCAGGCCGGGCTGGCAAAACTTTTTAAAAAATATTTCGGGTTCGATTCGGGCCAGGCTTGAAATATTAGGCCGATGCAGATCACTAATATAAATCAGAGACCTGCAGAGGTACCATTTGCACCGCCCGGCCCGGCTTGGCCCGGATATTTAAAAAAATAATTTTTTGGACCCGACCCGGTCCGGTATCTTTTTTAAAAAAAATTTTTAGCTGGCTCGGAATTTTTTAAAATTATATATGATCTGGTATATACAAAAATTTACCTATTCTGTATTTTATCATATTTATCGGCGAGTATTATCATTTAATAAGCAAGCATATTAGCTAATGTTGTTAAACGGCTCGTTTTGAGCCGATTTTTAAAAATGGCTAACTAAATATTTTAGCCAGAAAAATATTGACTAAGCCTCGAACTTTCGATACTATATGTCTAGACCTTTTCTCCTTTTATGAACAAAATTTTCAGGCTTGCGTAATATTTTTCTGGACAAAATACTGAGTTAGCCGTTTTTAAAAATCGGCTCAAAACGAGCCGTTTTACAACACTATATTACATATTTTATTATTTTTATTCTAAACAGATATTTTGTATATTACAAATTAATACTATAAAAAATTTGTGTAAATAATATTTTGAGAATATACTATATTAATTGTATTTATAAAAAAAATAAAACTGATATTTAATTAATAAAAATATAACATATATTATATAATAATGTATTTATTACCTAATATCCTTTGCGTATTCCAAGGCAGGAAAACTATCATTATATTATGTATTAGATACTATGAGTGTTAGCTAGTGTTAACTTTCACCCAACATATATTAATTATAACTATATATAATCATTATAACCATATCTAATTGACGAATATAATAATTCATATTGTATAATTTTTTAAAAATTTTACAGCCAGGGTATTTAAAAAATTTTTTTTTAGAGCCAGGCCTGCAGTATGAATTGTTTTTTTTTTGAATAAATGTAAAATCCTATTTAAATAATAAAAATAGAAAACCCCGTATCGTCTTTTTTATTGAGTTATACAAAAATTAGCAGGGATAAAAAGGAGAATTCTTAAAAATGTAGAATCCTTAAGAATAGATATATAATTTTAATTAAATAAAAAAACTATTGTAATATATATCGTCTTTTTAGAATAGATATAAAATCTTATATAATATTATTTGATAAGAAAAATAATGTACTATGTATATATTTTTTAAGTTATACAAAATATTCATCAGACATAAAAGGGCATATTGTTCGGCCCGACAAAATGGATAGATTTAAAAATAAGTTGGATGTTTAAAATAGATATATAAATTTATTTAAATTATAAAAAAAATATTATACTAAGTACTGTTCTTTCTTATTCGTAAAAACCTTAATTAATCGAATATAACCTCACTATACAACACATTGGTTGTAGTTCTTGTTTTATCATTAGTCATAATCTTTAGTTTATGAGGAGAACAAACCCGAGACATAGCCACATATAGCCGTCCATGTGAAAAACAGGATGAGGTAAATAGAGCCAACTTTGTTCAACGTTTGCCCCTGAGCTTTATTAATTGTCATGACAAAGTCTAGTTGGGGACTTATCAAGCCTATCATGTTCATCTGAACTTTTATTTTGTATTTGTTCATTAAATGGCAGATATACAATATTTGAACAATTATAAGGAGGAAATAAGATGGGAACAGTTATCTAAAATAAAAGCAAAAGAAAAATTTAAAGAATATTAATGCATTAAACCTGCAGAGAGTCAATATTAGGTTCATAGTAGGAATATCATCAGTAGCTAAAATAGATGTAATCTAAAATGTAAGAAAGTATAAACATTTTCAGTATGTATATATAGATGACTAACTTTATGTTGGTAGATTTTGTTAGGTTTCACGTGGAAAGTTTATTTTGTTTAACAGGCCACTTTCTTTGTTTGGCAATGACAGATAATTCAAGATTTGTACAATCATCAAGAGGGATTAAGACAAGGTGGGTTTCATGTAATGTGACCTATTAGAATTGAATTTACTTTAAATACTGACTGAATTTAGAATAGAATGATTTGAAGAAAATATTTATTTTTATTTTTTTTGAAATTGATATAAATAATAAAAATAAATAAATACAAAACGATGACAAGACGTAGAGATGACATGACGTCACGAATGACTTAGCAAGGACATCGAATAATTATAACATAGATATAAAATAGGATGCGGCTTTGAATCAAAATTATTTTAAAATTATCTAAGTTTCCAAATAATAATAAAAAGTAAGTGGACCCATGTAGTCAAGAGAATTTTAAATAGCATATGCAAGATAAGGAAATTTTGAGAGAAAAGAAAGAATTTAAAAATAAATATTATAATTTATAAATAAATTAATTAAAAATATAAGAGTATTAGGACAATAATTTTTTTTTTCATTATATAAAACCTAATTTCCTATTTTTTTATTATTAACTTTTATCTGTCAATTTATAATTTATCAATTTATCTATTCTTCCAGAAAAATTAAAATAATTTTCATTAAATGCTTCATCTTGAGGAAATTTTTTTATTACTTTATTTTCTTATTAAATAAATTATAAAAATTGTTTATTATAATAATTTATTTTTTACATTCATTTATATATGAATTTTTAAACAATAGTTAATTATTTTTATATCATATCTTTTTGAAAAATTTTATATCTTGCAATTACTATATTTTATATTGCATTTAAAAAAAATAAAACTAATATTTAATTTATAAAAATGGAAAATATTTTGAGAATATAATATATAACATTTCTTGAATTGTACATAATCGGAAAAAATATATATGTGTATATAAATATATATGTCGTATTGGGTTATGGAATCATGTGGGATTCGGAATCCCAACGTACGTTTTATTCGGGATCTTTTTTTAAAAATATATTTTTTAAAAATATTCTGAATCCCCATGAAAAATAAATAAAATATAATTACTTTTTCTTCTCTTTTTTTGCGGCTGGCACCATATAATTAAAAGGCCAAAATAAGGGATTTAAAAAAAGTAAATAGTATAAAATTAAGGCATATAACATATGAAAAGGGATGAGAGTAAGACATTTTTGTTTTAAAAAATATTAATTACTTTTTCTTCTCTTTTTTTGCAGCTGGCACCATATAATTAAAATGCCAAAATAAGGGATTTAATAAGAAAATTTTAATAAAAAG